AAAGAAGGAGGAATGAGAATCTGTACAGGACCGCCTGAGGATCCTAAACAACGGCCCCAGACCCGAACACCTATGCTCTCGAGGCTAGTTCATGCCGTGTAGCCGCTTCCAACATGTGCGGTCTGGAGAAGCTGCTCCTTCATGAACACTTTATCTCATACATGGTCATGGTACCCCAACGAATATCCTCGGTGAGGACTCAACGAGTCCGTGAGGGTGTCTCACCTAAACCCCCAGGCAGGCCGTTCATCTCAGCCACATTCCGAGATAACGATGTTTAAGATGAAGTTCAAGAGATAGTGAGTTGGTGATTGACAGGAATTCACCGTGATATCAGAACAAGTCACGCTCCAACCTGCTGCCCTCAGGACGTAGTACTGTTCCTTTAGAAAGTTTGACATCATCTTCTCATAAAGGACAAGGGCTCTTTCCAGTGCTTCTGGGCCCTATACAGCGGTACAGGCAAGCCTGCGTGATCTTCGAATTCTGGAGAATCCGCCCCCAAACCCTGAGCCTGGAAGCGCTAAACCCGAAACCTCCAAAACCTCCACCTCCAAACCCAAGGCTCCTAAAAACTACCATGACATCCATTACCTTCACCTCCTGAATCCCAGACTTTGCTGGTGTTCAAAAAGGGGTCCCTAATCTGGGTTGCTGTAAAGGAGCTTGAATTAGGTTACCATAATACAACCCTTTTTAAGGAGTCATATAATCCCCTATAATGACCCCAAACCCTAGTAGGCCCTAGACCTAAATCCTACACCCTAAACCCTAGTCCTAAACACTAAACCTTGAATATATCTATCTATCTATCTATCTATATATATGTAGGTTAGCTCAGGTCTAAGCTCTTAATATCCCCCTTAATAACTATGTAGTCCCCTGTTTCACTCCCTTGAAGGAGTGTAGATCCTAAACCTTAAGATCCATATAACTCCCTATAAAACACCCTGTAAGGAGTCATATATTTCATCTGCTATAATAGCCCCAAACCCTGGTAGGCCCTAGACCTAAATCCCCCCTATAATAACCCCAAACCCTTGAAGGAGTGTAGGCTACAGCTCAGGTGAGCAGTATTTTATTTGGCGATAGTATGGTACCCAATATAGAGTAAGATTATATCCTCCTTTTGGTATAGTATTTTATATGAGGAGTATTATCTTACTAGGTTCAACCACCAAAAAAACGCTACTCAGGTCCTAATTCCTACACCCTAAACCCTAGTCCTAAACACTAATAACCCCAAACCCTTGAAGGAATGTAGACTACAACTTGTGTACTGCCCCCCCTCACTAACAGTTGGATAATAATGATAATATGGTTTTATATAGCCCTTAATAGGATCCCTAGTATAGACAGTTACTGGGTGGGGGCANNGATTCTCCATTATTGGGGGGGGGTAATGGCCCATCCTGGGTACCTTAATATGTCTGGAATCAAAAAGAAGACAACTCAGGTGGGGCTGGTTCATCGCCTGCCGCTGTGGCTGTGGAGCCGAGGCCTTCATCCCGGCCTTGGTCAGCTCGGGCTGCCAAACTGCCCCTGGGACAGTGCGATTCTTAGGGTTTTGGGGGGTTAAGGGTTTTAGGGTGCTAGGGTTCTAGGATGTTCTAGGGTTGAGGGTTTAGGGTTTAGGGGGTTAAGGCTTCAGGGTTTTAGGGTTGTAGGGTTTAGGGCGTAGGGTTTAAAAGGTTTAGCAAGTGGATGTTGGCACTGTAACCCCTAACCCCCCAAATTTATGACCCTATGACTATCAGGACTATCGTAGGATGGTTATATAGGGTCCTAATTTGGAGGTTGGGGTTACCAAACTGCCCTAAGAAAATGTATTGGGGTTATATATGGGGGTGATGGAGAAGACGATGGAAACTACTACATTATAACTGGTTTATATTGGGGTTATAGTAGGGAATAGGGAATGGGGGCATTTTTTGATAGGTCCTAAAGGCATGTACAAGGTTTAGGGTTTAGGATCGGCATAAAGCAGAATGGATTGACGCGCAAAGCTAATATGGTAGTCTCCCAGGGACCCGTACAAGCAGCACAAGATGCGGAGATGCCTTGAACGAGGTAGCTTTGTTTTCTTCTGCAGCTTTAGCTGGCAGCGGCAGAAGTGTGAGTGAGAGCTTTGGAGGTCGTCTATGCCCTATATTCCAGCTTCAGCTGCTTGGCTGCAGGAGGATCAAGGGATGACAGAAAGAGCCAAAGGAGAGCTCTTGCATACGATGCTATGCTTCAAATGCTCGATGTGTTTTCTTTCCCAGGAGGTTGTTGAACTGCACATGACAGCGGCCTGAGCGTAACGACCTGGAATATGAGTACGCCTAGTAGAAGCTCATGGGCCCTTTTGTGTTTCCCGTATCATAGCACTTAGGTCGTGTAGATGCTTCCCAAGAACTAACTTCAATACTAGCACAAGACTTCACATCATCCTGCAGAGCCTTATAAAGCTTCCTCCGGGAGGTGACAAGCAACCCCTCCCTCTCCTCAAACGTTAACTGCTAGCTTCAGTTTAGTCATGGGGAAGATGTTATGCGTTCATTTCAAGACTCCGCCAGTTTAGTTAAGCCTGATCCCCAAAACCGAGCGTGGTCATATGAAACCTGTTACAAAGGAAGTCCCTTTTGAGAAAGGTTTCCAGGCTTCAAATCTGCAATTCACCTTTTGCAGGTTGCTCATCCAGTTCCTCGCGTTCAGACTCGAGAGAGCCTCAGCGCGCGATCCATCATTTTCACAACAGGTGCCAACGCCAGTAGGAGGAGCGGTAGAGTTGTTGTAAATGCCTTCGTCATCTACCAGCAGCACTTGCTACCAGCGGGCAGAGGCGGTGGCGGTGGCGGCGGCGGTGGTGGTGGTGGTGGCCGCGGCGTCGTGGCTGTGGGGTTGGTGGTGGTCGTCATTTACCGGTTCTTGCCTAAAAATGTAATCAGTAGAAAGTGAGGCAGACAAAGAGCGAATGCGTAAAACATGTCAATTCAATTGCACGTTGCAGTGGGACGTACTTGCCCCTGATCAGGGAACAGCCCTGCCCACACGCCACACGCTCTTGCTCACCTAGAAGGTTTTTTTATGAAGCAACGGGTTGCTGCAAAATCGCAAACATCTACCAGCAGGAGCCCCTGCTTGCTACATCTCTCTCGTGTGGATGTCCCTTGCTCTGCTGAAACAATACCCTTGAGGAAAAGCTCATACTCTGGGCTCATTTCTTGAGAGAGCCGTTGCATCCAAGGTTTCTCGAGCCAGCTGGGTCTTCAGGCTACAGATTGCGCAGTAACTTGGTGCCTCAATCTCTGCTGTTCCCAACCTTGAATAAACGAGCGGAGTAAATAGCTCAACGCAGTCGTTTCAACTAATCCCACGCCACAGGCAAAATATCATACAAGCTCACACAACAGTAAGGAAGTATCAGACCTTAGATCCAGATAGGCTTCCTCAAGCTTCATCATAAAACCTCGGAGACAGAAGGTACATCCTTTGCGCAGGGCATTCGCTGGCCGCCGCTATTTGGGGGCATTTCCCTGCAAAGCTGGCAGCACTGCACTTGTTTGTGATTGGCAACGGCCTTATCCTATACACTGTGCTTCGGCAAATTAAGACAGGGAATTTGTGATTCTAGGCCCTTAGCCAGGCCCTGTTTGGTTTGGGTCAGATTTAGCTGTATCAGGTTTGCGTGCGCCTTCCCTATCAAACTCATGAGGGCCCCCAAAACCATTCTTTCAACCTTGGGCCTGTTGATTCATTCCTATAGCCACCGGCCTCCCCTTGCAAATCCACCCCCCAACCTCTTAGTCGCAGATTGACCTTGTTATGCAGTGGCAATACGGTTTTGGGAATAATTGTTCGTAGGGGGTGGGAAGGATTTTACTGGGGAATGGAACTAGCAAGAGGCAATCTGAGGAGTGGCACAGCGAGCCTTTGGCAGCTTCTTCTCTGAGCCGGCAAAACAGCGACGAGAAGCAGCGCCCCCCCGAGCAGGATAAATATTACATATCTATATATATATATACACAGACATCTTAGATGCTTCACAGATGTGCGTATGTGTGAAGATGCATGAGGGATGTTATTATCCGTGCATATATGTACCTGAGTGTGCTAAGTGCTGTGTTGTTCAGGATCTGTGAAAGGACATCGGAGGAAGAAGAGTGTCGTGAGTATAAGGCAGTGTCTGGGTGTGCAATTGCCCGCTCTTGGCGGGCTATTTTGGGTATCCCAAGGACTCAACAGCCAGGCTCAAGGTTGTGCCATTGCATTTTGTGCTATTTGTGCAGATCCCAAAAGCCTTGGAGAGGCATCACGGACACAACGCCCACGCCCCCTAAACCTAGGCAGAAAAGACAAAGAACAGATGTGAGCAAGTCCCCGTCTGCGTGCTCCCTGAGGCGAGTCACATTCTCCTTTGACTCCTGCGGGTGGCTGTTTGCCGCCAGGCTGATATGTTGGATTGCAAATTGGTACTTCACAGGCTTGGGGTTTCCATTACGATCTCTTCTAAATGGCTCTAGGCTGAAAATTGAATGCATCCCATAATTTGCAGATCCAGCTCTCCGAATTTGAGCTTAAGGGCACATTCAGACACATGGACTACATAACAGGAACTAGACGGGCACTTAAATGTTGTTTCTGCATGGATCTGCGCGGGCTTTTAATGTCAAGATGGGCAACTGCAAAAGCGCCAGCGACCAACTTTTGTGCAGCTGTGTGCCGTCCTGCGCCCAACTGAAATCACGCACGTCTGGCTATGCTTCAGAAAGATGGCACCGCATTTCAAAGAGGAGAATGAATGGCACGACGCCAAAAAGTCTACAGGGGACTCCCAAGCGCAAAACGTGTCTGCTCTGGAGCGGGCAGCAGCGAGAAGCGTAGAACTCATGCTGCCGCGAAGGTTTGCAGCCATGCCATTGCAGACATGAGGCCGCAGAAACTTAGTGATAAGTTTTTTTGGCATCAAAACAGGATTTTTAGGTGCTGAGCTCAAAGGATGAGGCGGTTCGGGTCGCATGGCCAGAATGGTCCCCGCTCATCAGATGCATATGTACAGGTATGTATGTCGTATGTATGCGTGTCTATACACATACATCTGCATACATAAACACATATGTATGGATGATTACTGTGCTGCTGCTGTTGTTGGCGCTGAGGTCTATCACTTTGGTGTCGGCTTCTGGCTCAGCGAATATTTGGGCCTCCTCCGCAAATCGGACGAGTCCCACTCTATGCCAGAGGAGGCTTGCGAGAGGGTCTGGGTCTTCCAGGGGTCCGCCCCATCAAAGAGGACCCGTAGGGACTCAAGAAAGGGCTAAATGTTAGCTACTGGTCATGGACCTGGGGTTGCATTTGCTGGAAAGATGTGGAAGCCCGATGTGCCCCCCAGAAGCCCTAGAGGCCTTAGACTCGTCGACGTCACCCTAGAGCGCTGTCATTATTGCATCAAATTCGCAGGTCGCCTTCTCTGGTTCATCAGGCGGATCGCTTATAGCGCGCCGGCCTTGGTGACGTGAGCCTTAGGACTCGGTAAAGTGTTTGTGCATTGGGCATTGGATGTCTTCGTATGCAGTCTAATTACAGAAGTATGCTTGCTTCTTTCGTGCACATGATGGGTTAGTCAGTTTGGCTAGATGAAATCCTGGACTCGTTGTGATGGTTGAACATCGCTAGCAGCAGCTGTTTGCCTTCGACAGCTCAGGTGTGTCCTGGCTGCTGGTAACAACCCACGTGACGTTTTCGACTTCATCGTGGAGCAGCCGCTTCACTTCATCTTCTCATTCTTCGCATACATCCTTTTAGTACAGGCTACAGAGACCGCCACGTTCTTTCTTGATGAAGGTATCACAGGAATGCCCATATCTTTCAGCCGGCCTTATCCCAGGCAGCCGCTTTGCAAGCGCAATCCTGTGGAGCCTTTACTGCATCCGGCTCAACACATGAAGTTCGCTGCGGAAGTCTGGCCTGCTCTGCTTGCATTTGGTACCTGATTCATCTGATTGTAAGGAGATGTTCCGAGCAGTTGAGCGAGCATTGCGCAAGTTCCAGTTCGAGGTGCTGCGATTATCCAGCGAGCCCGGGAAGAACAAGTTGTCATATCATGCCAGACGTCCTAAAGCAAGCAAAGCAGGCAAAGCATCCTTGGACGATTTTCTGGGCATCCCATTCCCCTTCTGACAGGGCGCATATTTGCGGCTCATCGGTCGCATGCGTGCTCCTTGCATTGAAGCAGACCCACAGACGACACCATGGCGAGTCAGTACGGGTAGGCTCGGGAACACTTGAAAGTTTCTTAAAAATGAGGGGAACCCAATATAGATCCCACAGTACTATAGTCCTTTTTATGGGGACACCCAAAATGGTATTCATAATTTTCGGAAGCCCCAGCTGAGGTACTGCTGACAAGGGTGATGCAGCACCCACCCTTCGTTCAAGGGGAGGCCGTTTGCTGCTAAAGCTGACGAAGCCACATTTGATCACATGTGCATGCTACCCACGCCTGTGCTGGACACTCGTAATGTTAACCTCCCAACAGTGAGTCTCTCCCCTTTCCCAGAATTTGTTTTGCATTTTTGGCTTACGGAGGGTAGGGGTCGCAGTACTGAACCAGGGCGGTGGAGGTAGAACCGAGTAGTACAGGTCGTAGTCCTATAGTAGTGCAAGTAGAAATCGTCGGGACATTCATGGGCGCGGAGCTTTATCATCGTTACCTCGTTATTATTGCCGATGGAACATGTTTGTAGGTTTTCGGGCTCTGAACTTGTTAGAAAGCAAACGTTAAAAGTAGTCTTCCGGACTTTTTCCATCCCGGCGAGAATGTTCTAATGTCAGCCCTTTTATGAATGGCAGTTTGACATTAGTATTGTAGCATACTCTAGAGAGGTTTCCCGACTATCCTCCTTGATCGGACGGATGCGGCAGAGCATCACGAAGGGAGCAACAGGCTTGAGACATGCAGTTTTCTGTGCTGGTTCCTGACTATCCGACCATGCAGGTGGTTGACACGTACCCAGACAACGAGACGGTGATCCAAATTCTCTGTGCATCCTGTAGCTCGGAGGCAGTGTTTACAGTCACATACAGAATGACACTTTGAGGGGGGCCAGCCGAACCTCAACGGTATTCCTGGACCGGAACAGTTGGCACACAATGGCTTCTAGGTGAGAACGATGCTCAGGTTTAAGCTCATCATGGCAAAGCTGACTCCCAAATCCATGCTCAAGCTGGGGTGGAACGGCAGAAACTTACTGTGCATGCATGCCAGGTCACGTTCCAATCTTTGCTGGCCTCTTCCCACGACGCATATTCGGCCGCTCGTAAGATGTTGTCTCCGGCTACTGCGCCTCCAGTGTAAAGGCAACTGCAAGGGAGCAAAGGCTAGGCTCGTTTGCTGTCGTGTGCACCGTTTGGAAGACTTGCAGTCACCCGCAGCTACGTGCCGCTCAGCTTGCGTCCTGTCCCAAGTCGATAGTGCTGGATCAGGAGTTTAGCCGCCTAATGTTGATATCGAGCATTTCCCAGACCCTAGCATTCAAGCATGCAATCCCATCACTTCATTGTGGGTCCACGTTGAGAGTCCTCTGCGTCACATGCGCGTTGATTGGGTGCAGGGATTTACTTCGAGTGTCGCAATATTGCTTGTGAATGCATGGTGCCAGTGGATATTGCGAATCTGGCAGTTTGAATGCTTACTTTGCGTATGTTTGCTTTGAAGTGATTACCTGAGTCTTACTCTCTCATCACCTATTGCTTATAACGGCTTGATTGCATTCCCAACCCTTCTTGTGCCATTGGTGCCTGAGAAGGACTTTGGGGGCAAGTTGAGCTTTAAGGCTTCAGTTTACAGGTGCATAGACCAGTCGTATCGTAAGTCTGAGGATCACCCCAAAACAGCTTGTGCACGAGTAGCCGAAGGTCCGCATATCAGAAAAAGCTCCCTACAATTGCATGGTTTGAGCACCGATGAATCAGGCCGTACAGCTTTCAGGGTAGTGAGACATCTCAGGGCGATACTACTACGATGGCCTGGTGTGGCCAGACCGACTTCTCGTACCGTGGCGCGGAGCACCAGGAATCGTAGCAACATGCAGGGGAGGTCGAAGGTAGGAACAATCCAAGACAGATACCAGCAGAATTCTAGGTTTGGATGGGGACGCATGATGCAGTAAATGAAGTGTGCGAAAGCGCATGCATGAAAGATTACCCGGCATTCTGCTTGGAAGACTTGTGGCTGCTGCAACATTCAAGCATACAAAGCTTGGATTGAGTCAGTTGCGGCTAGGGTGTGGCCAGGATCCAGTGCCGCTGTTCAATCCATGGCGCTTTGATGGCTCCACTGTTGCAAGGAGATCACGTCGTGCGGATTTCTGCCTGTGCACACCCTCTTGCAGACGTAAAGCCCCTCAGCTTCAAATCTTGTACGTAATTGCAATTCCTGTACTACCACTTGAATCTCCGTCGCCTGCAAGGCATCAACGAATCGTAGGCAAGACACAACTTGTTTTGTGCGGCTTGAGTGCAGCGTCTATCGTGTAAAGCGTCGGCAGTAAAGCTGCACTCACAAATCAGCCACTATGCATGCAGTGACATCTAGTTAGCCGACATCGGCATGAAGGTGGATCAGAGTCGTCAAAAACAAGCTGCTGGATCTTGGGACGCTCTTGTGTGCGGTTCGTCGAACACGAAAAGCTCCGAGATGTGGACTGGCAAAAGCGTTGAACCTAGCTGCGCTAACAAGGGTTCTGCTGCATCACGAAGCCTCCAGTAAGCAGTTCAGAACTGCATTTGTTGCTTGTGATGTGTCTGCCTTCCTGTAGAGCCCGAAAAGAGCAAGCGCCATGCGCAAGAGGAACTCGCGAAGGTTCGCTTACAAAGCATTCAAGCATGCGCACGATAGTGGGAAAGATTAGCGCCTCCGCACGAAAAAGATGACAAGCCTGCGTCGAGCTATGTCGAGCTCTTCTAGCTCAATCCCTGATACCCGTCATGAAGATGTGTAGAAAATGCTGGCCGACAAATGTTCAAGCTGTGGCCCTGAAATCTTGCAACTCACATGTTGGAAGACGGCCTTCCGTACTGCCTGGAGCAGTAGGTGTGGCATGCTAAGGATTGACCGTGTGCCCTACTGGTGGGCCGTGCTGCCTCCTGATCCTCGTGTGCTGCGAGGCACCGTTATTGGCAGTCAGGATTCTCAACATAGCATGGTGGATTATACGGGTCAATCTTACACAATGCGTAGCAATGGTTGGAGCGTAGCAATAGTTCCAGAATTCCCAAGAGCATGATGGATGCGGAGCCGTGCGCTGATTTTGTTCCCAAGAAGCTGGCCTTGAGATGAAGAGTTTGGGTGTTGTAGAAAGATGAAGTTGAAGCTGCTTGGGACGGGCAATGCACAGACATTTCCTGTCCGCTGTGTTGAGAAGCTGGGGATCTATGTTTTCCACGGCGTCAAACCAGATCCTTGGCACCTTCTCGAGACCCTCAAAGCTGAAGTGGAAAGATGGTTGCAAAAATTGGCTCCAAGAGCCGCCAAGCGAGAAAGATCGCACGAAGAGCATGATGCAGAACATAGCTAGAAGATGCAGCGTAGAATCTAAAAGCTGCTTGCAGCACGGGCGAGAAGGAAGTGGCACCTTTGAGCTGAGAGAATGCTCGATGCTCCTGCCCTTAAGCGCATGCCGGATTCGCTTTCTCAGCTTTGGGGTCCCAACATCAAATTACTAGAAAGCTCTCATCCACACCAAGAACTTCAATCAGCAATCCTCCCAACAGCAGAAAGCTAAACCTGAACCCTTGACTGAGGCATTTTCTGGTGTGGTTACAGAGATGCGGCGAAGTGGTTCTGCACGAAGCCAGAGGACCATCTAAGAAACCGCTCAGGCCATGAACATTTCTTGCCATGCGAACGAAGACAACATTAGGATACTACTGCCAAACAACAACAACAACAACAACAACAGTAGCCCTACCCCTAGACAGGGCTCCTTTGAGTGCATTGTCTTCAGACTTTGCTCCTCAGCATGCCGCTTGCAACGCCGAAGAGAGTTCCCTATGGCATTTTCATTCATCCAACGGTGGTGTTGTTGGCCTGCTCAGCGGTGGCAATAGTAGGAGCGCAGAACTCGTCAGCTGGGCGCCCAGCAGAGTAAACTTATGCGGGACTGGTCCTCCGCATGCTTTGTACCAAGCCTTTGCACCGCAAGCCTTCGCAAAATAAATTGTAAAGAAAGCGCCTCCTCTATTGATACCGCGGAAGCCTGCAGACACTCTCCTATCGAAGGTGTCCGTCAGGGACATGTAAAGCCGAATCCTTCATGAGTCCTTCAGTTTACCGTGTCTTGTGTCAGGACTCATCGGAGCTCTGTTGCAGGAAGCAACCACAGGCCAGAACTTAATGTACTCAGCCCTTATCATCTCATCCTGAGTAGGCGGGGAGGAGAGAGTTGCTGAAAGCGTCTGAGGATCGGATTGCATTGAAGAGCACGCTAAGACAGTCGGAGCTTGGTGTTCGCCTGAGAAACGAAACATCCAGATCAAACTTTGCTTGGAAAGCAAACCTGCAGTATACTTCCTGCAAGCCTTCCACCCAAGCTCTAGACCATATGTAACCATCTCCCTTGGAGTTGCCCCTTAGCCTAAGAATCTGGTCCAAGAGGCGGCAGCAGCGTCCACCGCGAGGCCTAGCTGTTAGATTCGAGGTTTAAGGCTCTGGAGCTAGGGCTTCTAAAGCTGTAATAATTGCATAAGGTTGTAGAGATCAAGGGCCGACGGGATACTCCGATCAAGTTTCTCGAGCTTTTGCATATGAATTGGAGATTGAAGCTCGGTGTTGTTGAGATTTGGCTTCTCGAAGGTTGCAAGGATGTTCAAGAATTCGGATCTGCACGTTCTGTTTCTCTTCTGCGTTTGCGCTATGATCTCGGAGTGCGAGGATGATGGGTGATCATGTGTATCTGCTCGTCTTTTCAATCCTGGGTCGAAGCTGCGCCTGTTGCGAAGTCATGACTGAAAGACCATGGGGCTCATCCTTGCACGTTCTTCTCGCCGTCCGTATCTCGATCATTGCCATTAGCACAGCCCGCGGCATTTCCATCATCGTGATTTGCGTTGTCCCTTACGCTTTGGGTATCCCGTGTATTGCTCTGATGAAGGATACTCTGACAAAGCGCGCCTCGGTCATGCTTATGGTTCCTTCAAACTGTCGGTTTCATGACCACATATTCCCCTCCTCCTCATCGTGCTGTTTGGTATTAGAGGCGAGAGGAACGGATTGTAGGGAAGCTTCGGGGTCATAGATTGGGTGCTGACTGGTCAGCACAGCTTGATGCTGATCCAACTTCAGGTCACACAGAACTTACACTTACACCGGCTTAACGGAGTGGAGGCTTTTTTGATGAGTTTACATGGTTGAGTCGTTTGCTTTTCTCTGAAGCTCATCTTCAAACCCCAAATGCTGTTTGGGTTGGCCCGGCTGGGAGGGGGAAGTTAAACCTTTTGCAGATAACGTAGGGCTGGCGGTGCTTATGACGGAAAAATTGATTGTTGATGCAAAAGTCCTTTGATTCTTGTGTTGGCAAAGGTCAGATGATCTAAAGCTCACATGACAGCTGAAGGGATCTTGGATTTGAATCTCTGCCAGTCTCTCTCACTGAAGGTGGCGAGCAGCACAAGCACTGCTAAAGGAGGCTGGTTTGCTTCTTGTTGGTCTGAGAATAGCAGCGAGCAGCGAGCAGCTAGCATCAAATGTGAGAACAGCGGCAATGTGCAATGCCCACCATGAACTTCCAGAGAGCTGTTGCATCAACACTATAGAGGTCACTCCGTAGTGGTACTGGGCTAATCGCAACCTTTCGATTCCAAGCCATGTTCATTCTGGAAGCTTGCTTTGGTAGCCTGAAGTCTCTCCAAAGACGCTCGGCCCTAATTACCTTGCGTGCACGGAAGGCTCCCAACACCAAGCTCCCTGAAAAGGATCCGGTGACTGGTGAGAATGCAGCTTGAGGGCAATAGAACGCAATTGACCAAACATTATGAATTAGTAGGAGCGCAGCAGGCCTGAGGATTCTCCCGGCATTAACCTCGAAAGGATAGGCAAGCTCCATGACAGCAGCGGTTCTCATTATGAGGTTCACCCCAGGTGTTAGCTCGGACTTATCCCTTTCTCTGTGTAGATGCCTTTCCTGCTTAGGGAACAGAGTTTCGACTCTTCGCGCCTGATTTCCGCTTGCAATGTGGGGGTTCCCAAAATTAGGGGTACCATTCTGGGGGTCCCCATAACAAGGATTATAGTATTTTTGGGGTCTATATTGGGGTCCCCCTATTTTGGGAAACTACCATGTCAATACCGGTATGGACGTGTATGGCCTGTGGAGCGAGCCAAGCTCAGGATCAGGGTTTCAGGAGGCAGTCGGGGCAGGTCAAGAGCTGCACCAAATGAGCTATGGTCTAAACTCCTAGTATCCCCCTTAAATAACCCCTATAGTAGTCCCCTATATATTGCCCTATATAACCCCCCTTTAAAAATAAGACTATAGCTCAAAT